CCCTTTGCCGGCCGCAGTCGGCACGGCCCCTACGGCGACTCGGTGCTGGAGTTGGACGCCGCCGTCGGTCGCCTCCTTCGTCTGCTCGCCGAGCTGAAGATTGACCAGCAGACGCTGGTGTACTTTAGCAGCGACAATGGCGGTCACCTGGAGGAGGTCAACTCGAGAACCGGGCGGAGAGAGGGCGGCTCCAATGGACTGCTCAGAGGAGGGAAAGGACACGGGGCGATGGAGGGCGGCATAAGGGTGCCCGCCTTTCTTCGCTGGAGTTCGGTCCTGGAGCCTCGAGGGAAGATTCTTGATGTGCCCACCTCGCAGATGGACCTCTTCCCCACGCTCTTGGAGGTGGCGGGAGTTCAGCAGAAAGAAAAAGAAGGGGCTAATCTTGATGGAAAAAGTATTCTGAGCCTCCTGGTGGGAAACTCCACTGAGCGTAGAAGTCCTCACCAGTACCTCTTCCACTACTGCGGCACCTACCTCCACGGACTGCGCTGGATCGAGGACCGGGAGCACGTGTGGAAGGTCTACTTTTTCACGCCCAAGTACAAGGAGGAGGGAGGCGAGGAAAAATGTCCCTTCGTTTGCATGTGCTACGGTGAGGAGCATGTCATTGAACATCGGCCGCCCCTCGTCTACAACATCGCCGCCGATCTCTCTGAGCGGTCTTCAAAGGGAGCGCTGGCCCCCGGATCGGAGCAGTACCAGAGGGTGATCAGGCAGGTGGAGCGGGCTGTGGAGGAACATCGGAGGAGTTTAAGCTCGAGCAAGGAAGAGGAAGTTGTGGAGTTGCAGTTCAGCTTTCGGAACACCGTCTGGAAGCCCTGGCTGCAGCCGTGCTGTGGTGGACTACTCAAGGCTTGTCATTGTGGTGGGCAATAGCTTTAGTTTTAATCTCTCTTTTTTACTTTCTCTGTATTTTGAATAAAAAATATTCTAGCTTGAATTTTGTTCCAGAAGCCCATTTATTGTCGAAAGTTACCGTACTTTGGTGCAGGTTCGTCGTGTTTTTTTGCCAANTAGCTTTAGTTTTAATCTCTCTTTTTTACTTTCTCTGTATTTTGAATAAAGAATATTCTAGCTTGAATTTTGTTCCAGAAGCCCATTTATTTTCGAAAGTTACCGTACTTTGGTGCAGGCTCGTCGTGTTCTTTTGCCAAGTTTGTCCGACAGACACTAGATGACAGCAGGGGTTCCACAAAGTTTATTTTCCTGGTTTTCTGAACACGGGAAAAATAAAATTTATGGACGATTTTTTGACGCCACTTACAAGATGGCGACGCTGGTGGCGTTCCTAGCGGCTAGCATCAGAAACTACCGACTTTTAATGATCAATTCTGTCTATTTTTAAAATGGGAGTTTTTCAGGCCTGGAAGGTCGCAAAAAGCTTGAAATTGCTTTAAATTAAAGCTTAAGACTTGATGCACAATCTTTATGTAAAATAATTTTAANAGGCCTGGAACGTCGCAAAAAGCTTGAAATTGCTTTAAATTAAAGCTTAAAACTTGATGCACAATTTTTATGTAAAATAATTTAGTTTTAACAAGTTTTTTATTTTTAAATCTAGTTTTTAAGTTTTCAGTGCTACTTTTACAACACCAAAACTTGTCAAAACCAATATATTTTACATACAGATTGTGCACCCAGTCTTTAGCTTTTATTTAAGGCAACTTTGAGCTCTCTGTGACGTTCCAAGCCCGAGAAACGCTTATTTAAAAAATATTCGAAATTGATCATTAAAAGTGGGTAGTTTCCGGTGTTGTCCGCTAAGAACGCCACCATCGTTGCCATCTTGTAAGTGGCGCCAAAAAATCGTCCATGAATTTTATTTTTCTCGTGTTCAGAAAACCAGAAAAATAAAGTTTATGGAACGCCTGCTGCCATCTAGTGTCTGTCGAATGAACTTGACGCAAAAAGTCGACCGGCTTGCACCAAAGTACGGTAATTTAACCCGATTTTAAAACCCCAATTACCATGCAACAAATGTCTATATTTATGTTGAAAATTCATTAAAATTGGAATGCATAGGTGTTGACAAAAATCCATTTTTATTGACTCATTCTGGAAAGAGAGAGAGAGAGAGGAAGAAGGTTTAGTGAGCCGGCAATGATCCGGCCAACTCCTGCCGCAGCCTCTGACTGGTGGCGGTCATCTCCGCCTGCGACTGCAGGGGAATGCCAAACTTGCCGTCCACCTCCTTGTCGTGCGTCGCCAGCCGCCGCCAGATCTCGTCCACCTGGCCGCCAAAGTCGGTGCCCTTCCGCGGGACGATGTGCACGTGAAGGTGCTCCACCGACTGGCCCGCCTCGGCGCCGTCCTGGACGGCGATCGTCGAGGCGGCGGCCTGTTCCGCCCGCTCCACCGCCGTCTGCACCGCCTGCACCAGGCGAAAGAGGTCGGCCACCTCGTCGGCGGTCAGGTCGGCCATGCGCTTGGCCGTCGGCCGACGGGGACAGACGAGGACGTGGCCCGGCAGCACCGGTCGGTGGTTGACGAAGGCCACGGAGAGTGGTGTGCAGGCGAAGATCTGATACGGCTGGACGGTGGCCCTGGGGCCAAAGGCAAAGGATGACTGCAACTCCTCCTCTTCTTCAACTGTGGCCAGCTCAGTGGATGTGGGCGACTGGTAGCGCCCGCTGGCCGGCCGGATGTCCCCGTAGAGCGCCGGCCGGCGGTCCGTCCAGACGGGCAGACGGCGGCGGACGTCGGCGAGGTGCTCCAGGTCGACCTCGGCGGTGGCGTAGCCGGGCGTGTCCGCCTCGAGGTGTGCCAGAATGACGCCCCACGGGTCGATGATCAGCGAGTGGCCGTAGGAGCTGCGCTTCTCATTGTGCTTGCCCACCTGCCCGGCGGCTGAAGATGGGGGGGGGGAAAGAAGAGGGCAAAGAGGATTACTCACTCAAGCTCAGCTGAGAAATAGAAAAGAGCTCCCACTTACCCACAACGTAGCACTGCGTTTCGATGGCCCGAGCGCGAAGCAGCGTCTCCCAGTGCGCCTTGCCCGTTGGCACGGTAAAGGAGGAGGGATACTGATGTGGTAGAAGGGGAGAAATAGAACATTAGTGTTCAAAAAGCAACTTCCTATCAAAACCATCGTACCGAGATAATATCTGCACCGGCTTTGGCGAGGGCGATGGCAAACTCTGCGAAACGCAGGTCGTAGCAGATGCCGAGGCCGAGGGCGCCGGCGGGCGTCGCCACGGGGCTGATTACCGCTCGTCCTGGCTGCGAGAACTGCGGGAAAATGTGATTAGAGATAACACCTTGATAACCTTGATAGTCTTACTTCGCTTTCCACAAGGCGAGTCCCCGGGATGTCCAAGTTGAAGAGGTGCACCTTTCGGTACACGGAGACGATCTCACCGCGGTCGTCCACCACAATGTGCGCATTGAAGAGCCGCTTATCGTCGGCACCGGCGGAAGCCTGATTCTTCTCGTGCAGTCCTCCTAACGAGAGCCAGATCTTGTTCGTCCTCGCCAGCTCCCGGTACCGGTTCACCGTGGGCCCGTCCACCGGTTCGCCGTTCTCCAGCGTCTGCGCCCGACTGGGGAAGATGGCGTCGAAGCACTCGGGCAGGAAGGCCATCCGGGCGCCATCGGCGGTGGCCGCCTCGATTAGCCGCTGAGCAGTGGCAAAGTTGGCTTCCTTCTCGGCGATGGAGTTCAGCTGAATGACGGCGATCTTCACGCGAGAGTTATCTCCTCCTGGTGGTACTGAAGAGCTGCTGCTGGCCATGGTTCGAATTGATGGTCCAAAAGAGAAATTGGTAGTGGTAAATGGTGGTGAAAGGCGGTGATGGTGATGAAGAAGGTGAGCTGGCGTGAAGCAGGTCGGCTTTCTTCTAGCTAAGATGAGTGCTGGCTTCAAAAATCTGAAGATGAACATAGCAACACCCGCCGTGTGCACCCAAACAACGAGTCAGTCTGTCTCAATGTCAACTGGCGCTGGTGATAATCAGCACAATGGGTGGTAGCTGTGCTAATAATCGGTGCTGCTGGAGAAGATGATGATGATGATGTCTTTCAGCAGAGACTTCGATGACATCGACCACAACAACAAAACACAACAACCTCTTCTGTGTACGACTCCAAGCACGCCGGCAGCGGCCACTGCGGCCAAACACTTTTGGATCACGTTTGTTTGTTTTCACTTTTAGGTAGTCCACTCCAAATCAAATCGATCGCCACAGAATGTCCAAGCAAGTTCTCAAGCATCTTCTCGATGACTTTGACAGCGGTGCTCTCGGTGGCAGCAGTAAGTGTTAAAGTGCCAAAGTTGAAGTAGATGATCACTAGCTTACAAACTCTTTCTTTGCCAGAACAATCAACTAGCAAAGGCAAAGAAAAGACCAACAAAAAGTCTGGTAAGTTTATTTTTTTCTAGAAAAATAGATAATTTACTGACTTTTTTATTTCATCTAAAATAGCAATCACCAAAAAGAAGAAGACGGCATCTACAAAGTCAAAGACCACCAAATTGAGTCAAATAGAACTTTATAAAGCACTGCGTGCATCAAGCTCTCGGCATGAGCCAAACCTGAAAAACATCAAGCGCAAGTTCTTCAAACACAATCCCGACCAGATCTCAGGCATTGGCGGCAGCAGCAACAACAGGAGAAACAACCAACAAAAGCCACCAGGCTCAGTTTTTAGTGATAGAGATTTTGAAAACTTTATGTCAAAATAATGTCAAGTTCTGAACAAGTGAAGAGGGCGTGTGTGTGTGTTTGTGTTTGTGTAGTGAAAACTCTTGCGAACAATCAAACAGAACAGTATCGATGTACTTCTGGGTGGTAGTAGTAGTGTCTTTGTTGCTGTGATGTAATTAATAGTAATCAGTGTAATGTTTATAATATAAAATCGCGATGCAAAACAACACTCCAACATAACTTTGGCTGACACGAGAGGAGACAGGTTGGAGGAGAGAATAAGAGTGAATAGGAGTGGACCCTTCGGGGAGGACGTGCAGAGATGATCCAAAATGATCCAAAATGCAAAGAACGTAGAACTAAAAGAGAAGATGAGAAGGAGGAGGAGGAGAAGGAGGTGGTGGTGGTGGAAGAGTAGGCGTCAGCGCTGGTGTCAAAGGCAGAGAATGAAGATCGATCGATCGATGAAGGAGAGGTGTGTGTGTGTGTGTGTGTGTAGTAGGTGTGTGTGGATGTATTCTGTACAGCAGTAAGAGGTGTGAAGAAGAAGGTAGTAGAGCAAGGTGATTAAGGAGGATCGGTTAATCAGTATAGAGAAAGTAAGGTGTGATTAGAGAGAGAGAGAGAGAGACGGTCTTGAATCATAAAGGATAAAATAGAAGAGATAGGTAGAGAGAGAGACGAGAATATAATGATCTGCAAAGGGGAGAGAAGAGGGAAGAAGGGGAAGATGCAGAAGATGATCAAGTGTGTGGGTGTGTGAATGAGGAAAAACAAAAGATTACAAAAGGTCATAGTAGTAGTAGTAGTAGTAGTAGTAGTTGGAAGGTAGAGTGGAAGAACGAGTAAGAGCTAATGATGAGGAAGAAGAAGAAGAAGAATATGATGATGGGGGTGATGGTGGACAGTGAGAGAGAAAAGCCTATGACAATAAAATAGTACCTACAACTACACTCCTCCTCCTCCTCCTCCTCCTCCCCCAACTAGCGAGCACCAGCGCACGAGGAGCATCGTTCAGCAGCAGCAGCAACAGCAGAAACAGCTTCATAAATAGTTAAAAACAGCGCATTCTCCCCCTCCCTACAAATTCTGCCTCATCTGCTCGGTGGAATGGTAGTTGAAGATTCTCTCCGCCTCCTTCATGTCCACCTGCTGCTGCTTCGAGATGGCTTTGATGATGGCCTGTAGGGTGGTGATAAGAGAAAGAGGTTAGAAAATCGTAAAGCTGCCACACTGCGCCCCTCACTGAAAATGCCTCACCTCCGGAATGAAAACATTGAGCACGTAGGAAACGTAGTCGGGGATGGATTTGTCGGCATTCTCAAAGGTGTCCTTGTACAGCTTGGAGCAGTACTCGTAGAGGGCGTCCTGCAACTCCTCCTCGATGATCGGCCCGAAACCGACCGGCGGCAGGTACCGGTCCTCGGTCTGCAACGACTTCAGGTAGCCCTGCTGGTAGGTGCTCTCCACCGTGCCGCGAAACACCGCCCCCAGGTGGCCCTCCGCATTGCCGGACTGCACGAAGGAGACGATGCGGTTCTGGTGCTCCGCCGTGGTCAGGTTCAGCTGCGGCGTGGGCGGCGGCGGCTGCTGACCGGAGCCGCCCGCCTCGCCTTCTCCGCCCACCGCATCTGCCGCCCCTGCACCGCTCGTCGATGGCTGCGACGGATCACCACC